TGTTAGCCAGGATGGCCTCGATCTCCTGACCTCGTGATCCACCCGCCTCAGCCTCCCAAAGTGCTGGGATTACAAGCGTGAGCCACCAGCCACCACATTTTCTTTGTCCATTCATCTCTTGATGGACACTTACGTTGCTTCCAAATCTTAGCTATTGTGTACAGTGCTGCAATAAACATAAGAGTGCAGATATCTCTTCAATATACTGATTTCCTTTCTTTTGGGTATATACCCAGCAGTGGGATTACTGGATCACATGCTAGCTCAACTTTTAGTTTTTGGGGGAACCTCCAAACTGTTCTCCATAGTGCTTACACTAATTTACATTTCCAAAAACAGTGTACAGGGTTCCCTTTTCACCACATCCTCGCCAGCATTTGTTATGGCATGTCTTTTGGATATAAGCCATTTTAACTGTGGTGAGATGATGTCTCACTGTAGTTTTGATAGCATTTTTCTGATGTTGAGCACCTTTTCATATGCCTGTTTGCCATTTGAACATCTTCTTTTGAGAAATCTCTACTCAAATCTTTTGCCCATTTTTTGATCGGATTATTAGACTTTTTCCTATAGAGTTGTTTGAGCTCCTTATATATTCTGGTTATTAATCCCTTGTCAGATGGGTAGTTTGCCAATATTTTCTACCCTTCTGTGTATTTTCGCTTCACTTTGTTGATTATATCCTTTGCTGTGCCACCTCAGCCTTCTGAGTAGCTGAAAATACAAGCACGTGCCACATGGTTCTATATTTTTTAAAAGTCCTTAGAGAAACATACTGAGGTATTTAAAGATGAAATGATACCATTATTTAAAATATACTGAAGTATACTGAGAGTGGGAGGTGATACAGATAAAACAAGACTGGCTATATGTTGACAATTGTTGAAGCTTGAGGATGGATACATGGGAATTCATTGTACTATTTTTTCTCCTTCTGTAAATATTAAAAATATTCTATAATAAAAAGTTTTTTAAAAAATTTGGATTTCTTGGGAGGCCAAAGTGGGAGGATTGCTTGAGCCCAGGAGTTCAAGACCAACCTGGCAACATGGCGAAACCGCATCTCTACTAAAAATATAAAAATTAGCTGGGCGTGGTGGCATGCACCTGTGGTCCCAGAAACTTGGGAGGCTGAGATAGGAGGATGGCTTGAGCTGGGAAGTTTGAGGCTGCAGTGAGCCCTGGTTGCACCACTGTACTCCAGCCTGGGTAACAGAGCCAGACCCTATCTCAAAAGAAAAAAATATATATGGATTTCAAACACATGTTAATTATCCTTGCCGACTTCATCATATAGTAGTAACCCAAAATAATCTATCCCACTTAAATCATTAAAAATTATATTCATAAAACGGGCCAGGCGCAGTGGCTCATGCCTATAATCCCAACACTTTGGGAGGCTGAGGTGGGCAGATCACAAGGTCAGGAGTTTGAGACTAACCTGGCCAATATGGTGAAACCCTGTCTCTATTAAAAATACAAAAATTAGCTGGGTGTGTTG